TATTTTGACATATTTATCTGTCGACATTTTTCTTTTCGACCAAAATAGATTTCACACCTTCTAAATATAAACTTGCTTATAATTATCTACAATAACATGCAATGGTTAAAATCAAGATAATTATCAATATCCTTGTTAGTGATAATGGTAGCTACTATCATCTTCAGTAAATAAGGAAATATTCCGTTGTTGTTATTTCTCAACTTATACTTTGTCAGTCAAGGACATTTAAAAAAAAACACTGTTTTTGCGAAGAGAAAATCAGACAAATGTATATGTAGTGATTGTGACGATTATTGATCGTTACACTTCACTTCACTTGTGTTCTTTTCTCAATAAGACTTGTTTTTCATAGCGTTGACCTTGACGATATGTGTTTTGCAATCTCTTCTCTTGTGTGACTAATATATAAGTATGCGTTTGTACCGATATAGATACGACTGAGTGATGAACTAGCTCAATAAACACCATTATCGAGGGTAACAATAGAGCTACACCACCAATGTGTCACAGTGATTTTTTTGAAGAAATATTTTTTCTAGATAGTTACCATCATCGACAAATAATCAATATAGTTTCTTTCAATCTGATAAGTCTGTTTCTGAATTATGATCGCGACAATATCCATATTGTGAGATAAATCCTATTTGATATAGAAGCGATTACACTCATTTTAGCATTCAAAATACAGATACGGTTTATAATCAGATTGGCGCTCTTGTTTAGTAGAATGTCATCGATAGTCACATGTTCGATATCAAACAATCAATTTTCATCGCTTCCTAAGGTGTACACTAAGTCAATAAACTAACAGGTGTACTTTTTTTTGAAGTTACACTCTCAGCCATGTTTGCATGTATACCAAATGCTTCATTAACAACGAAGCTGAACGGCAAAACGACTTGTTTTGTCCATCCAGATTGGTTATATACTGAAGAGAATTTCACGCGTATGAAATCGAGAGTTAAAACAACAGAATCATCTTCAATCGAAGGATAAAATATTTTAATTATTAATTCACGTTCTCAATTCATTTGCAAGTTCCGTTCAACTGGTATAGATGTTCGAGAAAGTCTTACCATCAATATAGAACAGTTTTACTCTGAAGATCGTGCTGTCTATCAGTTATAACTATATACTGAAAAATAAATGCAATTCTGTCAATGCAACCAAATCTATTTTGATTCTCAATACCTGATCTTCCATACTTTCGAGCATCACCAATAATACAGATCAATCAAAAAGAAGATTTGTTTTTTATTAACGACGTTTCGATAAATTTATTATCATTATCAAATTTCATCGCTTTAAACCTACAAGTAACGAAAATAAGATATAATTATTATTGGAAAATTACAAAAGCACAAATATGTTCACAACAATATTATGAGATACATTCAAATATACATGCTGAAATATGCTATCTATTGTTGAGAGTTCATTATTGATTTTGGAGAAAAATTCTTATTACCATTGTAATTCGAAAAAATAATCAACAGTGTCTCTGACAATCTACATGTATATTGAGATAACTTTAATATTTGTTATTCAAATTTGTAATAATAATATAGTAGATCATACTTCACCATCAATCATGAAGAGTAAGAGATTTTTTCACATGATATTATAGGATAAGCTTATGGTGTTTATTAATCATACATATAACAAGTGAGGCAAGCGTACATTTTTTCTACCGCTGTTCTTCTACAAAGATCATCTTTTGTCAACAGGACATAAAAAGATTCAATTCTATTTTAGAACGTAACTATTTAGTGAAACTAGTTGACACAGTAATTGAAATATAGTTGTGAAACAATGTTTGATTGTTATTAATTCTATTATCTGATCCATGTTCTATGTGCATCTAATAATTCATCAGTCTAAACGAATTGGCTACATAATTTAATTCAAATAGAATGAATTAGTTACAAATTTTAGAGTAGTCTGAACTGAGATGGATTGATCGTACATTCTCAAAAAGATGACTATTCATGGCATACATAGCTGTCACTTCAAACTAGTCCCGAGTGCCATTGGAGACATTTCGAACTAGTCAAGTTACTTGTCTGTAGCTGGTTCTTAATAGTCCAGCAGATGATGAAGCGTGACTCTGTTATCTAGACTGTCTAAACTGACGTTCAGATAAGCACCAGGCGTAACCACTGTGATGGCTGTGATAGTTGCTAATTTTTCTTAGAAGTTCGTGACCGTGAGTAGACTTTGGTTACAAAGAGAATAGCCCCATATCCTGTATTTCTGTTAACTGGTTAGATATTCTACAAGACAAATGACCTCTTTTTTTTGCATAGATTCAAAATTTGCAACTACTGTGATATGCAATAAGTGAGATGCAAAATCACACATAAAATAATCATAAATTATATTTTGAACAATGAGAATGTTAAAATAAAGTCAAACTTTAGATGTATGACCGTTCTTGTTTTGTTTTGAGAGGTGAACAAAAATGTCTTTGTTGGAAATTAATTGTAGTTGATTTCTCTTAGACAACATCTTTCGAGTTGTCTGTTATTCGTTCCATAAGATAAATTTTGTTTTCTTCCCTTTTACTTCAACACATTTTCACCGCTTTTACTTATAGAATCGATATACTAGGCCTTCATCAATAAAACATATAGTTTACGGAAGGAGGTTCTAACAGACTAAAATTATGTTCAGTGGCTACCATGTTCATGATTAAAAAAACAGTCACGTTAGGCACTAGTCAGGATATTCATCAGATATCGGCCAATGGTAGGTCGAATATTCGAATTTATTATTCGTCTTTCATTTTTATGATTTTGCTGTTCTACTAACTAGTCTGAAAGGAATTAATAGACTGAATATAACTGGGTGAAAAGACACTCTAAGCTAATCTAGTCGTGGTTGTAGGACTTTTTTTTTCTAACGATGAATAGATCTGACGAGTATTGCGGACATATTGAACAAGTCATTTAAACTGTCTTCACTTATTCTTTGCTTATATGGATGATCATCAGTGATCTTTACAGAAAAATTACATTAATATTCATATTGGCACGACCTTTGAAATACTTAAATGTCTATGGCTTTAGATTTTGTATTCATGGAAAAATTTGTAATCATAAGAAGCTGATTTTTTTCCGATACAATACATTACTGAAACATGTTCATTTTGAACTGAACGAAATACACGAAAATATTTGTATCAGAGCTCCGCGTGTGACGGGATGGAATGGAACGAAAAATTTTTCATCCCATCTCATTCATACCATGGGACTTCACACTTGTCAAATGTTTTTTTTTCTATGTAACTATAAAATGATGAGATACTGTGAAAAAGAAATGGACTCTAGAGAGTATAAGATTGCGGTATTTTTTAGAAGAGAAAAACAACGATTATAGCATACATTCACTCTTGAGATTCAAACTCACAAATATTATTCAAATGCTGCGTGAGACAACATATATGAACGCTTTGTTGAAATTAGGAAAAAAAGATCTTTTTTATGAAAGAGAAATATTACTATTTCATGTATAAAAAATCTGAAGTTATACAAGATCAATCATATTTTGATTAATAAGAATATATTTATTATTAATCTCTTGTTTAGTTCATTTTAAATGATGACAAAATTTATTTCTTTTTTATTTAAAAAAGACATATCATTGGGAACATTGTTCACGTTTAATGCAAGTACTACCAGTGCTATTATCTTTACGAACACAATCAGTAGACTGACAAAAACAACCGCGAACACATTGTTCAGTACAGACTTGTGGTACATAATTGCAAGTTTCAACACAAGCTGGACCACAATCTGTATATTGTTCATTATCACCTGTGCAACATTTTTCCTGCTGAACGCATTGATTATTATTGGTGCGAAAGTAACCTTTTTTGCAGAAACAACCAGGTTTGCATATTGCTATGCATGCTTGAGGTTCTTTTGGAAGTGGATATGAAAAATCATTACATGTAGGTGGACATGCTGAACCACATTGTTGATATTCTTCATTATCTCCACATTGTGGAACATCTGTTTTGTTACAGTCTTCACGTTTGACACACGGACTACTAGTGTCATTTGACTGACGAACATAACCATCTTGACAGAAACAACCGAAACGACACATAAATGAACATATGGTCGGTTTGTAATCGCATGTTTCGATACAAACTGAACCACATGTGTATTGTTCATTGTTGCCACATACTGGAGCCGGAGGCGAATCTAAGGTATACATAGAGAAACAGGAGTAGGAATATGAACAAAAGATTTTAAATTCATTTTACTTCCTTGAACGATAGTCGTTAGTAATAGCAGAAAAGTTGTATACAATATTGAATGCATAATACCTTACTTGCGTTAGACGAAAAATCAAATTATGAAGAGGTACGCATTGCATATATATATATAGGTATACATTTGTAATACAAAATATTTACACTTGTAGATTATTTATTGACATAAGAAAAGATGAAGAGAAGCTTAATTTTCAAGAGATTGAATAATCTTAATCCTTCTATAGCACGAATATAAACTGAAAATAATATTTGTTAAGAAAAAAACAATATTTGTATAGGTATAAAATGATAAGATACCGTTACGGATACCATGAATTTCGCGGTACTGACTTTTGCACTTGACTTTTGGCAATTACTGAAAGCTTTTAATAGCGTGGATGTAGGTAGAGCGAATACTCACATCTACATCCACACCTGGAATTCACGCTTGCCATCGTTACAAATCATTTAATACAAAATATAACAAAGCAAGATTTAAATATGCTTATTAATTATCTATGCACTGCGAGTAAACATATTTCATCTCTTCATGAATAGCAGATTATTTGTTTTCATACAAATGAGATATCACTATATCATGTATGAAAGTCTAAAGTTATAATCGATATATTAATATTTTCGTCACAAAGAACATTTTTATAATAAGTTGTTTATTTATTTTAACTTAAACAATGAGAAGTGTTTCAATATATTGTTATTGTATGTTTAATGGATATCATTTTGGACATTGATCGCGTTTAATGCAAGAACTACCAGTGCTGTTATCTTTACGAACACAATCAGTAGACTGACAAAAACAACCGCGAACACATTGGTCAGTACAGAATTGTGGTACATAATTACAAGTTTCAACACAAGCTGAACCACAATCTGTATATTGTTCATTATCACCTGTGCAACATTTTTCTGGTCTAACACATTCATTATTCTTGGCACGATAATAACCTTGTTTACAAAAACAACCAGGTTTGCACATTGCTATGCATGCTTGAGATTCTTTTGGAAGTGGATATGAAAAATCATAACATGTAGGTGGACATGCTGAACCACATTGTTGATATTCTTCATTTATTCTACATTTTGGACTGTTTTCTTTTGTCGGACAATTCTTAAGCATAATACAAGGACTTCTACTTTCGTTAGATCGACGCACATATCCAGACTTGCAAAAGCAACCATATTGACAAACCATCGTATAAATTTTAGGTTTATAATCACATGTTTCAATAAAACTTGATCCACACATATATTTTTCATTAGTACCACATCGTACGTCTAAAAAAAAGCAATTCTTAACAAGAAATTGAAATTTAATTTTCCAATGTTTTTTAACTATTTATTGTTGAGTCAACATAGATTGATAGAAATAACATGACGTAAATCTGTGAAAATAAAACCATCGTTATTTTTTTTTACTTTTCTTCGATCAACAATAAACTGGATGAATGAATAATTTTATTTTGTATATATTTATGCGCATATCATTATACTGTTTTTGTATACTTTTACGGTGCAAAAGAAAGTAAACAATAGAACCATGCTATAAAATAAATCATTTAATATTTCTTAGCTATTAAGCCATGTTTGGTAGCTTGAAAAGAATTTTTATATAATTATGTTGACACATAATTTTCGATCTTTTTTTTTCAAGAACAAATGAAAAATGAATATTTAATAATAATTATCAGTAATTTCTTTCTCTTCATGAGTGCATTGGTCTATTCATACTATTTATACAAAACGAAAAGAAAAATGTAGTTATTATCAAACAATCTGTTGTGTTATTAGTTAGAAGAATTTTTAATGCTCGTACGGAGAGAGTCTATACGAAAAGAAATCCAAAAAGAACAGCATAATTTTTTGTTGTTGACTCGATTGTATTTTAGTACTGTAGAAAATTAGTTCAAATTATAAAAAAATTTTTCTCCTGCCTTTTAAATTGACTGCTTCCGGTAGTAATACAACAGTTGTATTTAATAATGCAAAATAATAAAAAGAGACTGTCAAAACAGGCTGACAAACATCGTCATTAATACAAAATAATTTAAAATTTTCCCAGTTACTGCTTCATATCTGAATAGATGTCTGGCATCTAAATGATTCAAAAGAACTGATCAAATAATTGATGATCAACTCATTTTATGTGAGTAGATTTATTCACGAGCTTTTTATATGAATGGAATCCAACCATGGAAACTTTTACTTCATCTCTAAGGCATTATAACATTCTATTTCATTCTATATTTTTAAAGCTGACTGTCAATATTGTGACTGTGTAGTCCTTATAGAAATAACATAGTTAATGATTAGACCCCGCTCATATAAAAACACCGAAACGATTGAAACCAGCTCAGTTAATCGATATGGCGTTGTCAAACACCTATGTCTAAATAAATCATTTTTGATCTTTCAAAGCTCATTTATTCAAAGTATGATATTGTACTATTATGAGACAGGAAAGAATTTTATTTTAGCTAAGATATAAGACTCAATCTTATTACTCACTCTCATTCCTTAACCTTGACACGATCACTCGGAGTTCGCGCAGAGCCCAGGTCATTATCACACTGTTATAAGTATACAATACAGGATAAAGTCGTTCATCTTCCAGGTATACTCTACTGAAGATTAGCAGACGATGTTGATAATATCTGCCAGTTACGCTCAACTATTAACTTAATACTGTAGAGATATCGTATTTTTATCGTAATTATTAACAGAATGCGACTATTTCTTGATCTATTCTACATACTTCATTTTACTCTTCTTGCTTCTGTTATAAAGTTAGTTTTCAAGAGTCTAAGATAAATTTCATATAGTTTTGTAGAGCGTCAAAAGATGCACCTTTTGGTAAAAAAAGTTCGGTTATAAAGTACTAGCAAGGCTTCGAAAAGTTCATGACAATGCTGCTCAGAAAACATCATTTTTTGATATTTTCGTAAAAATCTACGTATCGTTTTTTTAATGAAAAGATTGATTATATTCGGGAAAGTCATTGAAAACATGATCAAATCGTCATGTCTTAATTTTTTCTTTTACTGATAAGATTAAAAGAATGAATAAATACTTGGTTTGAAATAGTTCATATCGTACCATTCCTTAATTATAACTCAGAAGTATTCATTAAACTCAAGATTTTACTAATGATATGTTACGAAACAGTGATTCTGAATCAATTGAATATAGCAGACATATTTTCTGTAGAAAACAATAAGTATCTGTAATCATAATGTGAATATTATTAGAATGAATTTCTAGAAATTTGCTCCAAATGATTTACATTTTCATGCTTCTATTGCATCATTATTTCATTTGTATTCAATAGATATTGGCCTTAATTTTCCTAATGACTTCATATTGATAATACATAATTAGTTATCAATCACATGATTACTAAAGTACTGCATGAATGCAATTCTTCGTACCCATACTTGATGCGAACAGGAATTATTTATCCTTACTCATTAATTTTGTACCAGTACCCAAGTATGGGTATCCAGATTGACTAAAACCAGAAGAATGAAATTTCCAGTATCTTCAATTCCTTTATATACATTATGATTGATAGTTGAAGTAGTATGTTTTTATTTCAGTTCGTTTTATTGTAATCAAATCAAAGTTCTATCAAGTAAATCATTACTTATCTTTCTTAGTATAATTCTATTACTTTTGTATTAGTATCATTGATGATAATTTTTTTTATTAATGTATCAGTCTTACAAAAGAAGATTTATTTGTATGATAAATTTGTCACAAATAAAAATTTATTTTTTCGAGAAAATTTTTCTTATTTCTACTTTTGATCGAACATAAACTATCGATTTCATTCTGTTTTCGAAATATGAGAGTACCACCATGTCGTTGTCGCTAAATATTGGTGTTTCATCTTCATAGCTATTAGATTGTAGTGCATAACGAGATATTCTAGTAATTTGCTTAATTTTATACTGTAAAAATTGGAGATTTGATAACTTAAGATATCGCCTCTCCCTACAGGAATATCATTTCTGTCATGTCAAACTCTCATTAAAAGTGTCCCAAAATGATCTCTGGTAGAATTAGACCTATAAAACTTGTTTGCATTGCGTTCTAACTTATTGAAGTAGTCAATGACTATTATACGCATACTATATTGGGTTGTTGAGAATGACAAGCTCTTTTTATCTATCAATTCGAAAATCGATCAGACTAATATTCATCTGACTCTATAGCAGTTTTCAAGTGATTTAAAATGGTATAAAAACATTGAAGAAAAAGCATTGGCTATGCAAAGAAATCCCAAAGAGACTATTCTCAAGACCTGATTTTATGTTTTGTTTTTGACTGATATTTGCTAGATTTCGATTAGTAAAATACGATTTTTATAATAACTAATATTTTCTGTTTTTGTCGAAAAATTTAAATAGTAATGCATGATTCCAAACGCCTCGATAATAGAGAATAATAAGATCATGAAAAAAAAAGACTAGATAAATATAGTTTAAATTAACTGCCTTTCTATTTGTTCTTCTTGTAATCATCAAGTCTTTCCTAGAGTATTCACATGTCGATAATAAACTAGTAATAACTTTGTGTGTTATATTTATTTTATTAATTGAGAGTCACACGGATCCCAGATGGACAAGACATAGACAGACCTACAGATAATAGGGATTGGATTAAATTTTCAAATAAACTAACTCAAATTCTTTTCTTTAATTGCTCATTAGACTAAAAACATAAAAGAAAATTCATTTGATGAATTCAAAAATTAATTTCACTTAATAAGTATCAATCCTCTTCCAAAATCAATCTATATCAGTAATTATATACACACGCATATATATATATATATATTGCTTTGTTTTGTTTATAAACAAGACGACAAAACTACAACATAAACAAGAAAAAAAAAAGATCAAAATCTGTGTATTTGGAAGAAACAAATAACACAGATGCATATAGTTCAATGTACAGATACAAAAATCGACGAAAACAAAAAGTTTATTTTTAATAAGCTGAAGATGCAATTGTTGGAGCAATATTTACTTTTCCCATACGTTTTTTTCCTTGATAAATTATTTTTCCTGATGCAACCATATCAATTGCTTTCGGATATAATTGTTGTTCAAGTATACGTAAACGATTTTCTAATTGAATTTCATTTTCAATTGGTGTTACATGAATACTTTCTTGTGCAATAATTGGTCCATCATTATCTGTATCAGATTCAGCAATAAAATGAACTGTAACACCTGTTATACGAACACCAGCTTGTAATGCATCACGTATTGGTGATGTACTATGACGAAATGCTGGTAATAATGATGGATATATATTTAATAATCGACCACGCCATGCTTGAATAAATGATGGTGATAAACGACATGCATAACGATCAAGTATAACTAATTCACAGCCATGTAATTGTAATTCATCATCTATTTTTTGATCCTTTAAAAAAATAGATTAAGAAACTAAATGATTTGCTCAAATGGAAAATGAATATTTACTAAATCATAATTTCTTGCAGCATATTTTTTTGGTTGAATTACTTTTGTTACAACAGATGGATATAATTCATTAACACGAGCTATATCTGATAGACTAGCTAATGTTGAAAGGACAAGAACAATTTCAAATGCACATTCAATTGTTGAAGTTGAATATGCAAGAAGAGAAAGTAATGAAGTATCTAAAAAAAAAACAAAAGGAAATAATTAAAACGATCCTTATTTCTATGTTTTAGTTTTGTTTTTTAAATACCATTTGTTGAAATAAGTACAGCACAACGTGTTTTATCATTTGCAATAGGTTGTTTCATTCGATCTTTAATAATAAGTGGAGTATCATTTGATGTAAGACATGGTTTTGGATATTTAAATAAAATATTTTTTAATTGAATTGTACGTGATCGTGATTGTTGAGGTAAATGAATTGATTTATTACGTATTGGACTAGAATCTAAATAAAATATATTATAATATAAAATAATTCCAATAAAAAACAATATATATTTACTTATTGAAGTAAATGTTCCAAGATGAAAACATGATGTATATGTTTGAGTTAATTGTTGAAGAATATTTTCAACTGAAGATTTTTTATGATCAATTATAATTAAATAATCAACACCACAATTAAAATATTCAAACATTTCATCTTGACTAAAACCGCTCTGAAAATATAAAAGATATTCAATTATATTTCCGTATTAATTTCATAATGATATTTATTTATCTCAACTATTTGTAACGAAAAGAGTACCGATTTGATCTTTCCGGAATAGGAATGTGGAGAGTCAAGTTTTCTTTTTTTTGATCTCCGTCTAGAGAAAACTAGTCCAAAGTTTATTCGTATTACATTTAGAAAAATCCTTTTAGATCGTATTTCG